CATTAATTCCTATAAGACCGTCAATCTCAGATCTGCAAAGAAAAATATGATTATTCTTAGTGAAGGTATATTTAGATAGAGTAGCAAAAAGTGTTCGTTAAACAATTAATGCAATAATTATTAGTTATCTAAAATAGATCATTTAATCTCGATCGTTATCAATTATTGCGTTTGGATCCGTTTCGAGCGAATTTGTCTGAAGAAAATGAACACCATATTGTTCGAAAACATTGTATGTTGCCAAAGTAGATTTCGTTTTCTCTAAAGGTTCCTCATAAAACTGCAAACATTTTCAGATTAAATTTAATCGGATAATTCAGTACAGATTAATCCAAAGTAATTAGTGAACCAGTGAACACTTGCGAAGTGCAGCAATCTCAAATCTTAAAAACCAATCCAAAATATCTAAATATTTGTTAACTTCAATGAAAATTTATATTTATATATATATATATATATATATATATATATATATATATTAACTTTAATATTTTTATATATAATTTTCAAAAGTTATAATTACGAAAAATAAAATGGTGAATCCAATGTAATGAATATATATTTATTTATTTTAAAAATATCTAATTTAACTAAAACCTAGACATATATATATATATATCATAAAGATATACAAATCATAAGTCAAAATTACAAAAAGAAACGAAATAATTTTATTATAGAAGGACATATATATTTAAAAAGGGCAGGATTAAGGTGAGATTTTATTTTAGTTAGGAGTTTTTAAGGTCGGTCCTTAAAAAAAATCCAAAGTTTAAATCACAAAAATAATATATTTGGAATAATAATAGGAGTATAAGATTTTACAATTAAAAATTTTAATAAAAAATAAGATTTTTTAATAAAAAAACAAACAGAGAAAATTGACAAAAATTAAAACATATTCGTATAATTAAAATCGCAAATAATCATATAATTAAAAAAGAAAGTAACACAATTATAAAAATTTACATCTACAATTTTACTATAGTCAAATGTATAAACTAAAAAGAAATCAAATATTTCCTTCGTTCATTCATCAGAATCGGAATCATCAGAATCATCGTCAGACAGTATTTCATTATTATCTGTTACTGGCAAAATTAACATATTTATTGTTTCTGCCATTAAATCCTTTAATTTTGTTTGTGGTATTTTTCGTAAAGATGAAATATATGGGTCAGATACAGCCAGCAATTCTAAAAATATCTCCTCCATGTTTTTAACTCGAAATATATTTTGATAAGATCTTTCGATATTTAAATTTTTGTGGACATCATTACAAAGTTGGCCAATTGGTAATAAACCGAATTGGATAATTTCTGGTCCATGAATTAAAATTTTATGAACCGTAGTGGACATATTGTACCACGGATATAATTTGACGAATCTTTTTGCCGTTTTTACGCCATATTCATGAAACTTCTTAAGATTAATTTTATAATTACTATATATTGTTAATATTACAGTATAGAATCTTTTGATTATGATTCTATCAACTCCTGTAATTAAAGCGGAAGTAGTTGAATTTTCCAAAAACTGTCGTGCTGTATTCTCATCGTAATTTTTTAATTCAAGTTTTTCTATATCAATTGTAAATTTATATTGTAAATTAAGTCCTCTTTGGACATTTCTCTTCCGATTTTCTAACATCAGTTTCTCTGTTTCTGTCATGTTTGTCTTTTTAATATCGAGCTTGTATGACAAGTCCAAGCAGCATTCAAAGAAACGGACCCAAATGTGCGACATTGATAATCCAAAACAATTATTTTTATTAACTTTTCTTTTTACTATTGCTTCAATATCGTTGAATTCGTCTCCAGAGGCATTGCATAGAAAACAATTTTGATTTAATAAGGTTAACTTAATTTTGTTACATACTTGGGTATTTGTTATAACAAATTTAAGATCATAAGATACGCTTATCATTTTTCCATCAAAAACTGTTATAAAAGGAATGAGTTGTTTT